GGGTTTTATCGGACGGAGCGCAGTCTCTGCTCCCGCGCATTAGCAGCTACTTGTGGTTTATGTAGCCAGGCTCTGTTATCGCTGTGTTTTATTCTAGGCGGTGCCTGGGTTTTTATCAGACTGTATTTTACTGTGGACATTTGTCTGATTTGTGAAACTTAGCCTGCACCCTTCAGTCTGCTCTTTGCAGTTGCCAGCTCTCAGGAGTTTGTTAGCGTGACCAATAAGAACACGTAAGGAGGAAGGGAAGGGGGGGGGGAGAGTAAGAGAGAGAGAGAGAGAGAGAGAGAGAGAGAGAGAGAGACCCACCGACCGACCAACCAATGTTCTGTCTTTATGTTGTTTAGAAATTGCCCTCAATGCATGACTTCCGCCAAAATACTTTACTGAGTTCAGCTGTAAAACGTGTCTAATCAACTCTCCGAGGATAAGATCTGCTTCACTTGCTACCAGATTTTTCCTTGCCTGTCTAAGTAAATTAGTTGTATATTTGCAGGAGGACATCACAAACAAATCCCAATTTCTGCGTGTTTTTTTTTTTATTTATTTAAAAACCAGCCTGTTATACTTCAGTAAAATGTCTCGTTAAAGCGTCTTAATAAAGTATTTCAGTAAAGTTTCTCAACAAATTCTTTCAAAAAGTGTCTTATTAAAGCACCCCAGTAAAGTGTGTCCAAAAAGTTTTCATTAAATTGTCTCCATAAAGTGTTTCAGGAAAGTATCTCAGTAAAGTATATCATTAAAGACCTCAATAAAGGATCTCTGTAAAGTGTCTCATTTAAGATCTCAACAAAGTGTCTCCATAAAGTGTCTAATTTAATTGTCTCCATAAAGCACCCCATATGTGTCTCCACAAATTGTTTCCATGAAGTATCTCAATAATGGATCTCAGTAAAATATCCCAGTAAGGTTAGTTAGTTACGTATCCTTTACAGGACGTTGCAGAACCAACCCCAGCAGCCCCTGGCTATTGTGTGGTTTCTCTAGGCAAATTTACGTCCAGTAGTTTGCCATTGCTTTCTGGACGGTCAACTTCTTGATACCACTGTCGAAACCAAGGCAAGACGCATGGCCCGCAGCTGGGATCGAACCCGGCACCCCGGCATTATGAAGCGTTCGCATCGACTTAGCCACAGAGCCGACATATCCCAATAAAGTGTCTCAAAATGTATATCATAATTATCTTAATAAAGTGTCTTTAAAAAAAGTATGAAAATAAATTCTGTCATGAAAGTAAAGTAAACATGGAGTATTTGGTATATGCAGTGTTCGTAGTGGACCACTGGAAAGCGTTGGGAAATGCAAGATTCCCCCTCTCAAGGGTGTATTTGATTCTAGCCACTTACTTTCAAAAACAAATTGGCACTTAATGGATGATATCATGAGCATTATGCTTGTCACCTTGACGTCACTCAACATTTAGTATTGTTTTCCCCTGTGTGGGTTCTGGGGCCCCATTGTAAAGATGGTGGTGGGTGAAGGGGGAAGGAGGACACAAGAATAGTCCCACTGCCTCCCTAACAAGCATGGTGTAAGAGTTGACTAATTAGAGTTTCCTCTGAAGTCTGAGTGCATCTGCCTGAGGCAAGGGACCTGCAGTCTATATTCACAACTACGCTGGATCTGTAGAACAGATATGCACACACACTGAAGTTCTGGAACAGATCTAAAGTCCAAAAGTGGCCGAACAACCAGAACTTTTCTTTGGAGTTTACAGCTAAGGATAAGCGTATCTGTTTAGGTTTTTTTTCCTCTCCTGGTATTCTGAGGTACATTTGAAAACATGGCCACTGTGCTAAATATTTGAACATACAACCACTAGGATGGCAGGCAAGCGTGTCAGCCGCTGCGCTGCTGCAGCTCTTGTCTTAATGCAGGCTTTAATCTATCTGATTTCATAATCTTGCCCCAGGCCTTGGATAGTTGATGTCATTATGACAAGCTGCTTTTAACTTTAAAAGATGATCACTGAACCATTACAGTTGGCTTCCTTGTAGCCAGGTGTATTAACGGATCTCTCACACACATTATATATATATATATATATATATATATATATATATATATATATATATATATATATATATATATATATATATATATATATATATATATATATATATATATATATATATATATATATATATAATTAATGTTCCATTAAACAAAAAATTGACAGTTATGGGAACACAATTATTATAAATAATATAAATATATGTCGGTACAGTAGAGTTATAAATGAGTGTTTCTGTAACTCTGAATGTGGCCAGATGGATCATTTCAAATTCCTGATGCAATCTCAGTTGGCCATATTTATTTTTGTGATTTCTGTTGCTGCATTTGAGTTTGGTTTGCGTTGAGCACCTGGAGTGGCTGATTCGTTACAACTCTTGGACTTACGGACTGTTGGTTTATTTAAAATGTACTCTCATTGGTACCGTGATGTGACCATTTGTCTGGTCAGTCTGCAGAAGGTGAGAATGTGAACTAGAAACCTGATTTTTGTGAGCTGCAGTTTCATAACTGCTGTTTGGGCTTACAAACTCTACTTAAGTCCTTTTAAGACTTGTTTGAAATTAACTGGATTTAACTTCTTTGTCGCATTCATCGGTGGTGAACTCTGGCACAAATTTTGGTTGTTTATCCTTTTCTGGAGTTTGGTCTTGTTCCAGAACTTGAGGAGTTTTGTGTATACATCCATTTAACAGAGATCTGGTTAATTTATATACATACACTTAGTTACTTGCCTCCGACTTCAGAGAGAACACCATAGTTAACTGCCTCTTGTGACATAGTTATGAATGGGGGTCCCCTACTATCTTCTCTCTCCACCCAAACGGGGCACCAAAACACACACAGTGAGAAAGTCCTTTTAAGATTTTTATGAGATTAGCTGAATTTTGAAGCTAACAGTTTTCAATGTGAGGGAGTTAACAGTCTTTTGCCCGCCAGCCCTATGTTGACTCTTGGGACATGTATGGTAGGTTTTTAAAAAAAAATGTATGCTTGGTAATGAAAGCTGGTTGCAGTGTACACACTGTTGTCTCAGGGAATATTACGGGTGCAGCCCCGATTTTTTTCCATGGTGCAGCTCTCATACCACTGTCCAAAAGCCATATGATTGTTTTTGTTTATCTAAACCAACTGAGAAAAAATCAAACCCTTGTGCCTTAGTGACTGAAACACTATCACTAACCTTATGGTACAGTGAAACCTCAGTATCACAGACTTGCTTAAGAAGAACCCTTGGTTAGTGCGAAACAAAAATATTAGTGCCAGCCATGCCAGAAACTGCCCCCACTGCTGTATTGACCATTTGTGCTGTGCAGGCAGGGTGGTCTCTGAGCCTGAGGATTTGGGACCACAATGGCTAGTGCTGTCACCAAGGACTGTACAAATTAAGATTTGTGTGTGCCCCTGAGAGAAAAAAATATCTCCAGCCTAACTGAAAATTGGAACCTGGGTTTCCTTCTTGAGAGTCCTGCAGTCTTAACTATTTGGCCACCCGCATCTCCAGCAGGAGTGTATTATTGTTAGACCTCAGCAAGCATAAATTTGCTTTATCACAAACTTCATTTTCAGTCTTCTGGTGTTCATTTTAACGAGCTTTGACTATAATAATGTTCTTAGTAGTTTATTGAATGACCCCTGTTAACATCTGGACACGTAAGATGCTTAATTAACTAGAGAACATTGAAGTCTTTATGATGTCCGGGTGCTAATTTCTGTATTAAAGTAGTACATAGAGGTCGGTTTTTTTGGGCCAGTTTTGCATTGGACATATGGTGCTAGACTCGTATTTGTAAAGACTGATCTGCAATTGATGGGTGATGCGGTCAGAATCATACAGACAAGCCACTTTTGCTTCCCAGTTTATTTCCTAATACATGTTTTGGTCTTGGCCTGTAGGGTTCCAAAAGGAGTTGAAAATAATCTTACTCTGTATTGCCAGTATTCTATATCTTTAATATTTGTCTGCACTGCAGTTTATCATCATCATGTGCCCTGCCGACTGGCGTAGGCGTTACTGCATCTCCACAGATCTCTGTTCCCTTGTTCTTTGGATGAGTTCCACCGATGATATCCCTCCATGCCATCGTTCATCATCTTTTTTGGTCTGCCTCTCCTTCTTCTACTGTTGATCTTCTCAGTCATTACAACATTGTTTATAGCCCCCCCCTACCAAAGAACAGTGCTTGTCTTTTCCTTATAGCTGTATATATTTATATTGATCTGCTTTCATTCCTTCAAGCAATCCTCATTAGTTACTCTGTCAGTCCAAGGGATTCTTAACATGCGTCTGAAAAACCACATCTTTGTTACATCCATGATCTTTCTAATTTTTGCATTCACATTCCATAGTTCACTACCATACAGCGATATAGGTTCTACATAACATTTTAGTACTCTTTCGGACATTCAAAGAGAGGGACCTGCTGCATAAGATTTCTTCATTCTGTGAAATGCAACCTTAGCCTGGCCTATTTTACTCTTAATTATTCTGACACACTTCTTCTGTCTGATGTTATGATTGTAGCCAGATTTTATCATCTTGGATTAACTTTTTACATTCTAGTCTCATATCACACTGTGGTGGTAGTCTTTTCTTTGATATAACCATTACCTCCATTTTCTTTTTATTCAGGACAGACCCTTTTTTGCACTCTCCCTCACTACAGTGTCCAATAATTTTTGTAGATCATTTGCATTTTCAGCTATCAGTGCTGTGTCATCTGCTTAACATATGTTGTTTATATTATAACCTCCCACTGTAATTCTTTGTATATCTTTGATCTCTCTCAATATCTTCTCACTATAGAGAGAGAAGAGGTCAGGTGACAAAACACATCCCGGTCTTAATCATTGTTTTATCTGCAGTTTATACAGTAATTTATTGTGTTTGTATGTGTGTGTTAAATCTCTAGCTGCAAACTGATTAGACTAGTTGATAAATACACATCTTTTCTCTAATTCCTCAGATTGTCAAGAAGACTGCAAGAATGAATTCAAAAGCTTGTCCATTTTTGAACAAGTTCTCGATGTCCAGCATCAGGCAGTATGCTCCACTGTTTTTGAGTTACGTTGAGAGATGTCCTGTCATGATGCAAAGTTTCAGCCGGCAGAGCACAGTCAGTGGTGACAATGGTAAGTGACATTTTTTGTCTTTGTTCATTTAACTGCCTAAATCCTTGCATGGGTTGTAGGGCCTTATGTTTTTGGGGACAAAAAAGAATAGACTCACTGCCCCCTCCCCCCCCCTCCACAATCATGTCATAAAAGTCGAATAATTAGGGGTGTTTCCTTCTAAGGCGGAGTGCATCTGCCAGAGAGGTGAGGGGCCAAAAGTCTGCTTACAAATACGCCAGGTCTGTAAAACGGATATACTCGCAAAACTCAAGTTCTGGAACAAAACTAAAGTCCAGAAGTGGACAGGCAGTTAAAAATTTAAGCCAGAGTTTATAACACAATTAAGAAGAAGAAGAAGACTGCCTATAAATGCAGGGGTTTGTTTACAACATCACGAAGAGAACCTCCAGCTAACTGTTAAGTAGAATCCACATAAAACTTAACCTGAGGCAGATAGAGCATTTATATATGTAAAAAGGAAAGGAGTAATCATAGAAATGAGATGTCTGAGAAAGATTGCGGGAGTGACCAGCAAAGGTAAAAGTCAAGAATGAGGTCTACAAAGAAAATTGTCACAGAACCGCTACTAAAGTACATACGAGGACAGCAAATAGAATGCCTTGTGATGCTACTGCTAACTACTTCATCTTCTTAGCCTTCACCGGCTGTAAGCTCTTGTGAAAAGTTATGACTGTTCATCAAGTTTGAGACCTCAGTCTTGTTTCAGCTCAGTGTGATTTTGGTCACCTAATGAGAATGGAAACAACGATGCCAGCATCAAGAGCATACAACATGAAAATCGAAACACCAAGAGGCAGGGGAAGACCAAGAAGAAGATGGATTGAAGGAGTCACGGAAACTTGAGACTTCATAACATCACGGCATATGAAGCGACTGAGCATGCCCTGGCTCGGTTGCCGATCATCTGATAGACTGCGACGCCTAGCGGCACAAGCAGATTTTGACAAAAGAAGAAGTGATTTCAGAACTTTAGTCTTGCATGCATATCCATTTGTAGGTGTGTATATAGAGTACATCATGACAGTAGGAAAGTTGAGGCAGGGGGAGATCGAGAGAAAAGATGCTGGACTGTTTGACATCATATCATGGGGGATCATCTGTGTCAGAGTTAATTGGAAGATACACAAGAGAAAAGGTTGTGGATAGACATCACTACCAGCGCTACAACGCATCATGCACTTTAGGAAGAAGAAGATCTAAACTACTTTATGTGGATGGGTAAGGGGGAGGGGGCATTGAGGCAAAACACTTTTCACTCCACCTCATATTGTCAAAGCCTAGCATACAGAAATTAAAATGAATCTTTGCTTGTGCTTATTCATGCTTGTCCCAAGGCATTTTAATTGGGGATTTTGTATTGATCTTGACTGCATCTTGTTTGATCTCACATTATTGCCTCAAGGTTATATAAATCAATCATGTTTTTAGTATCAAGTATATAATCTTTTTCGTTTTGCTTCAGTTCCTTAGCAGATTAGCCTTGCGATAGCTTTTTTGTGTTTTTATAGCAATCCTTTAGTGTTGTCATTATTTGAGGACAGCTCACATTTATTGGAGCATTGCTTTTGTTATTGTAACATTCACCATTTAAAAGATGCTCAATGTATTGTGGTAAATGGGTGCTAGGTTATATCCCGGGAAGTAGAGATGGCCACCATGATTAGAGATTTAGCACTGTATGGCCTGCGCGCCAAAGGTGGGAAAAGGCTCCTTTTTCTTATTATGGTAACTACAAACATTACGGTAACAACTACAAACATTACGGTAATTACAAACATTACGGTAACTACAAACATTATATAAACTACAAACATTATATAAACTACAAACATTACGGTAATTACAAACATGACGGTAACTACAAACATTACAGTAACTACAAACATTACTGTAATTACAAACATTACGGTAACTACAAACATGGTGACTATAAACATTATGGTGACCGTAAACATTATGGTGACTGTAAACATTATGGTGACTATAAACATTATGGTGACTACAAACATTTTGGTGACTATAAACATTATTGTAACTACAAACATTATTGTAACTATAAATATTACGGTAACTACAAACATTATGGTACAACACTTATACAAAATGTATTGTAACTAAAAGTTTTATCGCAACTACAAACATTATGGTGACTACAAACATTATGGTGACTACAAACAATATGGTGACTACAAACATTATTTTTAAAAAAAAAGTAAAGGACCTTTTCCATGCCTTTCAGGTGTATTGGGCATATAGGGCTGGGCTAGACCTATATTTTATAGACCAAACGGCACTTGGTGGGTGATGTGGTCAGCATCACGCTGGACGCTTTTACTTCCCAAGACTGTACCTTGTACCCAGTCAAGCCTGGGTTGACCTGGGAGCCTAGGTCATTTTTGAAAAAAATCAGGCTTCCGCCAGGAACCTAACCTGCAACCTTCCAATCGGTAGGTGAGCGTCTAGTGGCTAGACAATGGCAGCTCCCCTTCAAACATTATGGGGACTCAAAAGTTAGTGTTCTTCACCTCACATTGCAGAATCAACCCCAGCATTTTTTGGCTGTTTGTGATTTGCTAGGTAATTTTATGTTCAGTAGTTTGCCATTCCTTTCTGAATGATCAGCTCTCGATACCTCTGTTGAAAACCAATGCAAGATGGTCTGCTGCCAAATTACTTACAGCTGGGATCAAACTCGGCACCTCTGCATTTTGAAACCTGTTTGCAACACCTAAGCCACAGACTGATAGTAACTACAGACATTAAATAAACCCATCCCCTCAGATGTAAAGATTTAGTTATTCAGTCACGGTTGGGCTACTAGCTATAAAGTATAGCATCAAAGTTTATAGTTTTATGAGATTCCTATCTTCTCTCGACCCCAAGACCTTAGGGCTGGCAGGCAGGTATGTAGCCACTGCACTACTGCTTGTCCTCCCTTTCCCATATTTTGGAAAAGAGTACAGTTTTCAGGAAATTTCATTTGAGTCTTTAAACAGAATAGTCTGACTGGAGTTTCCATTGTGTTGTAAATTCCATGTGCTATAATGGAATGAGGGTCTCACCACATAATATTTTTAAAGATAGCAATGGATGCACTTATCCACTTTAGCCACACGCTCACAAAATATAGTGGAAGAGGATCATTTGGTTATACTTCATAACTCTTTCACACGCCAAATCAACTCTCATTATGTGAGAAGCTACTCTGTGAATCCCAGCCATCTGCTTGTGTGCTCTCTCTCTCTCTCTCTCTCTCTCTCTCTCTCTCTCTCTCTCTCTCTCTCTCTCTCTCTCTCTCTCTCTCTCTCTCTCTTTCTCTCTCACTCTCTCTCTCTCTCTCTCTCTCTCTCTCTCTCTCTCTCTCTCTCTCTCTCTCTCTCTCTCTCTCTCTCTCTCTCTCTCTCTTTCTCTGAATCTGGCTTACGGAGTGGTCACTTTCCATCAGTATTTAGCCTCTTCAAAAGCTTTTTTCTTTCTTTCTTTCCCTGCTGTGGTCTTCTTGTAGTTAAAATAAGCTTACCTGACTTTGAGATGCCACTTATTGTAAATTTAACTGTATCCTACCTGACAGCTGCACCAAACCTGGCCACGGAAGCTGAAGTGCAAAAGTGTCCATTTTTGACCCAGGTCAATGTGACAGTCACCGAGGCCAGCCAAGCAGTTCAGGAGGACACCATTGGCCAGCAGTTGCTGCAGCTGCAGCCGCAGGAAGAGAAGCAGCCAGAGAAAGGTAAGTGATTGTGGATGTTTCTTTGAAAGTGTTGAGATTTGTTGTTCTTGTGTTGAATATCTAATGTAGAGTTGCTCATACATTTTTTAAAAAAAAGCTTGGAGAAGAGAATTAGAGATTAAGATGAAAAATTGGAAAGGACATGAAAATTATCTGTGGTGGCAAAAAACTAGAATGACTTGGTACTAGTTAGTTGACCCTTTCTGTCTGTAAGCAGCTTAAAAATAATTAAAGTAAACAAAAAAGACTTTTGTAAAAAAGGAAATGCATTGTTTTAATTCTCTGACACTCTTTCCTAAGAAATTAGAATAAGAGAAGAGGAAGCTGAAGAAAATTTGTGGCTTTGTCAGTTTAAAAAAAAAAATCTAGGGGTTGAAACAAAACATATGACCACCTAACAGATAATCAAGTGAAATGTCTTTGACCTCCTGGCCATAAGGTCACTTACATTTAAAAAAAATGTTATTTGTAATAGTCTCTTTTTAGCCCATTACATGTTTAGGAACTAATCAGTAAATACAAATGGAGTACACAACTGCTTTCCTTCACCTTGATCATGAGAACAGTATTTTTTTGTAAACACGGCCACTTGTAGCACAGGGATACTATTATGATGAACAAATTCAGAATTCTTGCCATTCCAGATGCAAAAGACAAAAACAGAAAACACTGACACTGGACTATAACTCAGTAACAGTGGGATGACAAGAGAAAGATCTGATAGCAAATATTTCACAGAAATGTGGTTACTGCCTGACTTTACCAAATTTTATGACAAATTTAACTGCTTTCGGGTAATCATTGCCCATCTTACAGTCAGCCCTTCCAAACACATACCTTTCACACAGCAGTTGTATATTTTCAATAAAGCATGTTATGATCATATAATTAACTGCTATTATCGAAAAAAACACCTCAAAAGGTAATGCAAATTACCCTCTAGTACAGTCAGGTGGGATGTTTAGTTTTGACCCTGACAGAAATGCTTCCATTATCTTGCTGAAGATTCACACCCAGCATGTTCTAACAATTCAGCCAGCTGTTCCTGAAAGATCTGATATTGACTGGAAATTAAAGGAGAGGAATGATACTTTCACTCCGTCTATCCAGGGTGTTCAGCTCAAAAGTGGGACAGATGTGGTCAGAAAAAAGGGTTAATATAACTGTGACAGAAGATGGCAAAAATATATGAATATATTTGAAAAAAAAAAAGGTATAAATCACTGAATGATTTTGTTATATCTCTCTCATGTGTACTGAACAGAGAACCCCAGCCCTAAGTTCTTCAACTATGAGGCATTCTTTGCCAAGCAGCTCCAGAAGAAAAAGGAGGAGCACACCTACCGGGTGTTCAAGAAAGTGCTTCGCGACGCTTCCTCATTCCCCCATGCTTTTGAGCACAGCACTGGCAAGGAGAAAGACATCACTGTATGGTGTAGCAATGATTACCTTGGCATGAGCTGGCACCCTAAGGTCAAAGAGGCTGTGAGGTATGTGTGATCTCTGTCCGGAGATTATCATTTTTGTCCATGCACCAGGGCGCCCCCCAGTGATATAGTTTTCTAACAAAATCGTTCTTATCTCTTCTTGAACTTGTGTAGAGAATTAAAAATTTTTTATATTTTTTTATCCGTCTATCTTATTCTCCACTAAAGAAAAACAAGCCATTCTTCCATTTACATATCTGTCTGCCTTTTTGTTAGTTTGTCTATCTCTGTACATTATTAGTTGAAGCATGATTCACTGTTTTACTTTTTACTTATAAATTTGCAAAATATATGTTAGTTTTTTTGTTTGTTTAATTATATTTAATCAATTTAATATTTGGCTCTATGGCTTAGAGCAGTGGTTCGCAACCTTCCCAGTGGGTGGCGTGACTCTTTAATACAGTTCCTCATATTGTGGCGACCCCCCCCCCCCCCCCCCCCCCCCCACAAACCATAAAATTATATTCGTTGCTACTTAATAACTTCAGTAAATATGTATTTTCTGATGGTCTTAGACGTCACCTGTGAAAGAGCCGTTTAGACTCCCAAAGGGGTTAGGACCCACAGGTTGAGAACCGCTGGCTTAGAGGTTAGTAAATGCAGCTAAAAATTTTGTGATCCCCAGGTACAAAAGTTCATTCCCTGTGTTGGGCAATTGAAGAAAAAAAATTGCTTTTACTCTTTTCGGACAAATGTGCGAGATTCATGCAGTGGAAGAGTTTGGGAGCATGTAGTATTCCCAAAGACAGAATGTAATATTCACAAAGACAACTTTAGCCAGCCTTCATTGTGGAGATGGCACAGACATTGATTTAATCATATGTAATTTAACCACTTCATACGGTATGCTAACCAAGAGAGAATAGAAATGGCCTGGCCTTATTATGAGACAAAAATCCTGATATACCTGCCAAAAACAGCTCTCACTTGGACACCAGAGGGAAAGAGAAAGAAGGGGCAGGGCGCTTAAACAACATGGAGATGAACAATGGAAAGTGAACTGAGTGCTGCATCTCTGACATGGAAAACTGCACTGAAGATTGCACAGGGCAGGAAAGCATGGAAAGTCCTCTCTGAAGCCTCATGTGCCACTAGGCATAAAGAGAACTAAAAGAAAAACCAGACCTGTGATATAACAATAACAGTTGTATCTTGTAATGAACAGTGATATAACAGTAACAATTGTATCTTGTAACCAACAGTGATATAACAGTAACAATTGTATCTTGTATTCAACAGTGAGGCACTGTGGAAACATGGTGCAGGTTCTGGTGGCACCCGTAACATCTCTGGAAACTCTCCATTGCACGAGCAGTTAGAGAGGGAATTGGCTAAACTGCATCATAAAGAGGCTGGCTTGGTCTTCACCTCGTGCTATGTGGCAAATGACACCACCTTATTCACTCTTGGAAAACATTTACCTGGTCAGTTACTCTGCCAACTATATATATAATATATATATATATATATAAATTTTTTTTTTAAATAACTTTTAGTTTAATCAAAACAGTATATGGTGTGTGTGATTAACTCTTCCTCTCCTACCCAGCCTTCACTCAGTGAGCTCTCGTAAATTTATTCTTTTTCTTTTTTCTTTCATCAGAGTTGTTTAAATGTGTTGTGCCTGTTTACAGCTAAACTGCCATATTTGTGGCTACCAGCCGACACATCTGACTTTATCGAGCATTTGTAGACCAGGTTAACTTCCCAGATAGTTTTGTGGGACATGTGTAGTTTAGGAGAATACAGATTGTTATTTAAATAGTATTTAAAATATAAATTGGTATTTATAACATATACTTTGTGAGATCTTAAAGTAGGTGTTATTATTTTTTTTTTTTAATTCTTCATATAAAGATTTAAAAAACATTTGAAAAATAGCCATTAACAATTATATTTTAAAAAGTGAGTTTCCCTTTGATTGATTACACTCATATCTTTGTAACAATAACAGCCAACATAATGAAACTTGTCCTGAGTACAGCGATGCCAAATCTTCATTTAAACATCATGCACCTTGCTATTATTACCTGTCTAGACTGATGGACATGGGTGTGCAGCCTGGAGCTGCAAGAAATGAACATTTCACTAAGGGAACAGGATGTTTCATTAACCAACACAGAACAGGTGTCATTAGTCGTTTTACATTCTTGGAGCTTTTGAGGAGGAGATCGGGGCACCTATGGATCTTTCCAGAGTGCTATGATGATAAACCTTTCTAATCACTTGTCTGCTGTATCCCTTTGCCTGTATTCAGTGGGCTAATACATTCCATCCACACTAGACTACAGGTTACTTCATAACCGTTGTGTGGTTTCCAGTATAACTGTGCTATATGGCTATACTGTTGAATGGGGTTTCTGGGATTTGTGAATATTTGAATTTGTGGTGTATATCTTTGCTTCGTTAGAGTACTTTTTGACTGTTCATAAAACCTGCTGCTACAGAACTGATGGTACCTAATGTTATTAATTGCATGTGCAACTACTGCTTTGCAGAGTTAAAAAAACTGCTGCTTTCATCAGTGGTGACCTACAATTTCAAGTGCTGGGCTGTCCGTGTTTGTACTTCAGATGGTTGCTTTATACATTTAATGCACATGTATGTGCAATTGGCTTTCCTGAGATTACAGTCTTGTTCATATAGTCCTTGCTGTGTGGCATTGGTAGTCATTATATCAACAACCTTGTGTCTCATGTACTTATAGTCAGTTCTGACTCAGATGATCTTCCATGCCATGATGTCAAACTTTCCAGGATCTTCTCTCTTAGTTGACTACAGTCTGTGTCAGTTATTTTACAAGGGACAGTGATAGGCATTCTGTATGGTTTTCTCTGGCACTGAAACAGATCAACTAAAGGGGCGACCCACTAGCTGTGATGTTAGAACTGTGACCACTTAATTACCTGATTTGCTTTGTCCCTGACAGGAATGCATTTCTTCTCTGATGCTGGCAACCATGCCTCCATGATACAAGGGATACGAACCAGCATGGCCCAGAAACATGTTTTCCGCCATAATGATCCAGACCACCTAGAGGAGATGCTCAAGAAAGTGGATCCAAATGTACCAAAGGTCGTGGCCTTTGAAACAGTTCATTCAATGGATGGTAAGTCTTCGTGACACTTTATTTACAGTTTGGAATAGTTTCGCTTGGAAAGTTCTGTATATTAATGGGTCGGCATCTGTGGCTAGCCGTTGCAAATTGGCTTCAAAATGTCTGGATGCTGGGATCGATTCCAGCTGCGAACAGTTTGTCTTGTATTAGTTTCGACAGTGGTACCAAGAACTGACTGTTCTGAAAGCTTTGGCAAACTACTGAACGTAAAATTTGACTGAAAAAAAACCACAATAGCCAACCAAACAAATGCAAAGTTGGTTCAGAATTGTTCTACTGTCTTGGGAAAAATGGTGACAATAGAACTGTTCTACTGTCTTAGGAAACAGGGTGACATTAGAACTGTTCTTACTGTCTTGGGAAACATGGTGACAGTAAAACTGCTCTTCTGCCTTGGGAAATGTGACAGTAGAACTGTTCTACTCACTGGAACATTAAAATCAGTTCACCATTTTGTTTTCTATCTCCTCTAACAGGCACAATCTGCCCCACTGTAGAGATGTGTGATGTTGCCCATAAGTATGGGGCACTAACCTTTGTGGATGAAGTCCATGCAGTGGGGCTGTATGGGGACCATGGAGCTGGTGTCGGAGAGCAGGACGACTGTCTGGATAAGATGGATATAATATCTGGAACTCTAGGTACACAGTTTTTTATGTCTGTCTGTCTGTCTGTCATCAATAACGAAATGCATTTCTAGTGTTGGGTTGTTTGTGTTGGTACTTCTGATGGCTGCCTTATGCATTTAATGCATGTGTGTGCAATTGTATTTGCTCAGTTCTCTCTCTCTCTCTCTCTCTCTCTCTCTCTCCATCTCTCTGTCTCAGGACTCTCTCTCTCTCTCTCTCTCTCTCTCTCTCTCTCAGTCTTCTCTCTCTCTCTCTCTCTCTTCTGTCTTCCTGACTTCCTTTCTAGTGTTCCTTCCTTCCTTCCTTCCTTCCTTCCTTCCTTTAATGCTTCCTTCCTTCCTTCCTTCCTTCCTTCTCTCTCCTTCCTCCTCCTCTCCTCTCCCTCCCTCCCTCCCTCCCTCCTTCCTTCCTTCCTTCCTTCCTTCCTTCCTTCCTTCCTTCCTTCCTTCCTCTTACTCGCTAACTTATATTATGTTCAGCCCTTCTAGATTACAGTTAGCCTACAAAGATATATTTTTTTTTAAAGATAACACATGTTTTACTCCTTCAGTTTTTGTCTTAAGCAATTATATGATCTTCATCTTTGTAATATATACATTATTCTCTTCTTTCTCTCTTTTCTCTTCCCTTGCCTCTGTTTCCCTGCTCTGTGTCCACCTCCCACCTCAAAGACACACACCTACCAGGCTGCCCACCTGCCTCATCACTAATCTTACCTCTGTACTTGTCTCTGTTTGTTTTCACTGAGTTTTATTTACTGGAAAACCATCTCCAATATGTTCTTGAAATCACATATCTGAACCTATTTTTCTCTATTGAACTTAGATTCAGATATTTTTCTTTTGAGCTTCTTAGTCATCTCAAAGAAGCAGCATGAACTATTTTAGGTTGGCTAAATATATAATTTACAATGGCTCACTTACAATAGATCATAATCATAATCTTGACATACCATGGTTCAGTTTCCACCATGGGCAGTCAAGACCATTTTCCTCACTTCTGAACAGTGGTATGAGAGTCACACCGCAGAAGAAATTGGGCCCTCACCGCATAATATTCCCAAAGACACCAACCAGTGGGTCGACGTTGCCACTCCTGACAACCTCCACTGTAGAGACAAGAAACATGTTCTAATACAGCAACTCAGAGTTCTAGATCAAGTATTTAGAAAGTTCTGAATGAGTACTGTTTATTTGTGGTCCCTTTCTTGCAGGTAAAGCATTTGGTAACATGGGAGGTTACATTGTTGGATCAGCTAAGCTGGTGGACATGATACGAAGTTACGGGTCTGGTTTCATTTTCACAACATCATTGCCTCCAACCGTCCTGAACGGATGTCTAGCCTCCATTAAGGTAATTAAACATCTTTGTTTTCTTAGTGTGTGTTTGTGTGTGTGTAGTATTGTCTTGGTAATCTTATCTGTTCGCAGCCTTCTATCATGTGTACTGTCAGAGTTGTACTTCCATGTCTTGATGCCGGACTATGGAGCAACTTCCCTCTTGATCTTCCTCTTACTCTTTCATCTTCACCATTTCCTGCTGTCACAGTGTACTCCAGTTATTTCATGTTCCCCAAAGAGTGTGGGCTGCTTCTTTGTTATGCAGGCAGTCTGTTTCCTTTGAGAGTTAACTGTGTTTAGCATGTCTTGATTTTCCATGGCATTCTGAACATTAACCACCAATTTCACACGACTTCGGACCTGAGATTTTCTTGTTTTTGGGAATTATAAAATAATTGGATATTATTAAAATGGAAGCCTAAAAGGCACCTTGAAGGTCCCACACAAGCAATTATTTTAAGGAGGCTGATACACCCTCTTCTCATGTATAGACATCCTTCTTTTGAGTATTTGTTTAATTTAAAATCTTTTATTATACTTATTTGCTATTCAGCACATTAGTATTATTGTTGCACATTTAAATAGGGCTTGAGCCTCTTTTCTCTGCCACCTACCAAATTATTAGTGGTTTGGACCTCCGCTTCACACCTGGCCCTTTATATGTTTTCCTGGTGGCGGCACACCTAAACTGGCATAAGAGTACAACTTTCCAGGGGACCCTTGATGAGATCAGCATTCTGCAAAGGACCTACTTCATAGTGGGGAATTTTATGGGACTTATCTGAACTGTTGACTACTTTGTTCTTGACCTGCAACTTTATCACTGTTTGGTCTCTTGTCATACAACTGTTTTGGCACCATTTTCTTCTGCATTCACCCTTAAAATAGCAGTAGGCTTATAATAAGCAGTTTACAGCTAGGTTGCAGTATCACTATCTGTGCCTGCCCGTGTGCCTTCCGGGACCTCATTATGGGGAAAACAGGAATAGACCCACTGTCTCCCCAACAAGCATGCCAAGAGACGACTTACTGGAGGCTTTCTTTGAAGTCGGAGTGCATCTGCCTGAGAAGCAAGGCACCGACAATTTGCATACTGTTACGTCAGGTCTGTTGCATGCAACACTTAGGTTTTAGAACAAGACTAAAGTCAAGAGGTGGACATAACCAGAACTTTCTGTCGGAGTTTACAGCCAGTGAATAAGAAGAAGAAGAAGAAGAAAACTGTCTGTGCCTTTTGATCCAGTACCTCTAACATCGGCATTCTTTGATTAGTTGACTTTTACGATATGCTTGGGACTCAGTAGGTCTATTCTTTTTTCCCCAAAAATTGGGCCCTGGAACCCACACAGGAAGGACACCATTGTAAAACTGGCGTTCCAGTCAGAAGGCGATATTTTATATATAGGCACCTAACTGCTGTATTAGCCTGACTGACTCATGGAGATGGAAATACTAAAGATATCCATCAATACCTTTTTTGAGTTTCCAGCTGACCTGGCAACCTTTACTGCACTTGATTCCCTTACATTGAAGGTATTTATAAGTATACTCTGTTATACCCAGATATATTACTGCTTATTAAATGAAACTGTCTGGTTTATCTGATAATTAGGTTTTAGCAAGTGATGAAGGAAGAGAGCTGAGGGCTCGGCAAAAGCGTAATGTCAAGTATCTCCGGGAGAAATTGGTTTCAGCTGGTTTGCCTGCATCGCACAGCCCAAGCCACATTATACCCATTATGGTAATTTATGATCCTGTTTTTACATAATAATAATAATTTAAAAAAAATTGTTATGTCTCTTTCTGTAACAAACAATATTTAATATGTGGCCTTGCATTATCTGTTTTTATCAAGCAACATATAGTGTTTTATTATATCTTTTACATTAGGTCTGACATAGTAAACAGATCTGTTTTTATATATATTTTAAAATGAATTTGAAAGTAATCTTTTTTTTTTAAAAACAATGTTGTTAATAATTTGACTTTAAAAGAATTTTTTTTTAAAAGAAACTTGGTTATTATGATCTAGTTTGACTTTGAGAGCAAAACAATGGATGAGAAATAGTTTCTCATGTATAGTTTAACTCAAATTATTTGTTAACAAGACCTAGTCTTTGAGGGCAGAAATGTTGATCGGAAAATGCAGTTTATTATTTGCTGCTTGACGCTCTTTATTATTTTTAATTGCATGTAAAAGGTAGCAGTTGATAAGTCAGTGTATTTACCTCTTCTATCTTGCCGCTTTTGAACTGAAATACTAAGAAGAATGCTAAGAATAACATGGACTAATAATAAGAAAAACACAGAATGTCATATGTGATCTGAGCACCGAGGAGAATTGGCTTATAAACAGCATCCTGTCCCAAAAGTTGAGGTATTTTGGCAATGTTAAACATCATGATGGCCTGGAGTGTACAGTATCTTGGGAATACAATGTAGAGGCAGATCTCAGTGAGTGTGGATACAAGATATTTAAGATACACTGGCTATGAAAGCACATATAGAATTTATTAGAGGAAGGGACACTTTCAGGCATGCCATGACACGAGTGACGAAAGGACCTGCCAGTTGATGATGATGATCTTATCTCTGCCTCTTTGTTGAATTGTCTGTCAGTAGTACAAATTATTATTTTCCCACCAAATTTAAGCCAGTAATAGCATGGAGCAAAAGCTTTGAAAGAACCGCACATTGCTCAATGATATCTTTTATAAAAATAAGGAAATATTCTAACATAAATGTCAAAATATAGTCATTAAATAACAGATAGGATTTTTTAAAAAACACACATTTTGGTTGTGAATTTATGAATGAATCAAGAATTAACATTCTTGTACTTATGACATTCCTACAAATGCTGTGTCCCTTCTTCAGTAGCCAGTGATGACTTCCCATACTAATGTGCCAGTTGCAACTTGATTAAAAGCGAATTCTAACTTGATACTGATTGATAGAGCTTGGTATTCTGTACTTGTAGCTGTTCCAGGTATTTGGCTAAACTCCAGTTTAGAATTATTTATTTTCAGGTAGGAGATGCTGAAGCCTGCACAAAACTGTCCAATGATCTCATCCTGAAATATGGCATTTATGTCCAGTCCATTAATTACCCGACTGTTGCTAAGGGAACCGAGCGTCTCCGGGTGGCTCCCACGCCTCATCACACCAAGGAGATGATGGACACCTTTGTTGACTGTCTTGCTGAATTGTGGAAGGTTAGTTATTGGACAACACAGGTCTTGAATTAGAGCATCACTTTCTTTGAATTAGAGCTTGATCACTCTTGAATTAATAGTACCTAAAATTAGAGCACTACTGCCCATAAATCAGATTCACTACCCTTGAATTGGAGTATTATCACCCTTAAAGTAGAGTACCATTTTCCTTAAATAATAGCAAGCCACAATCCTTGCTTTAAAGCATCACTGTACCTGAACTAGAGCATCTTTTTTGTTGAATTAGAACATTTTGTAATTTGAACATCACATACCTGGAAATTTAGCACCAGGAATATGAAATATCTTGAATTTAAGCTTTCAGATCATTACACCATTTGCATTTCGATCTTTACAACCCTTGAATTAGAATATTTAGAATATTGTACAAAACTCGAAATAAAAAAATTAAACCAACCAAAACCTTGAATGAGAGGATTTAAAACACTACAATTTTTTGATTACAACATTTGAAGCATCAAGTTTGGATTGAAGCATCATGAGATTTGACAGTTTTTTTTAATTATAGCATCATAGTTTATGTGTCTTGTTTGTCTGTTTTCAGCTAATCCCTAATTAGTCGCCTTGTATGATCCTTTTCTAAAAAGATATCAAGCCAGATAAAAGTAGAACTAGTCAGCTTCACAATTCTGACAATCACGAACTACAAGGGAATGCTGTGGCTAGAAAGCCTTCATCAGCACATGACACGAACAGATGTTACAATTACAGAACAAGAGTAAACAAAATTACTTCATGCTCTGAGGCATGTGCCTTTTATGATACACATGTTGGGATGTGAGGAGCAGTGGGTCTATCTTATTCTACCCAAAATAGGGCTCAGATATGGGGAAAAGCTGCAATATATGCGCTTAGCTCAGTACGTTCATTTTTATCAAACCCCTAATTAGTAGCCTTTTATCACAGTATCACGAAAAGATATCCAACCAGACGAAAAGTAGAACTAGTTAGTCATCTTTACATTATCACAATCACAACCGATAAATGAAAGTTACAATTAGAAAGCCTTCATCAGCACATGACATGAATTGACAGTGTTACAGCAACAAACAGGAATAAACACAATCACATAACTGAGATTTGTCCAAGAGAAATCCACTTCTGCTGGCCAATTGAAGCTCTGAGACACCTGCCTTTTATGACATGCTTGTTGGGGTGTATTTTTTCCACCGAAAGTGAGGCCCTATAAACCTCATAGGGAGGTCTGGGTGCAATCTCCAAAACTGGCAGAATGTTTATGTGATCATTACAACTCTGGGGTTGATCTAGCCTAAAAGAGATTCTTACCAGACAATCTCCAGGACATTTCAGGAATTGGCTGTGAAGACACAACAGACTCTGCAGCTATAAGTACAAGAGATTCAAGACTGGGGATTCAGAACTTTGTCCATGTGGACAGGCACCACAGAATTCTGAACCTGAGCTACAGACATGTTCTCTGCATGCTGAAGAGAGATCCCAGGTTTGGCAGGTTGAAAACCAAGCTCTGTAGAAGAGAGGAAGACTTGCAGCACAGGCTTCATAGAGGTCTGTGACCTTCTTATCTGAAAACCTGGCAGAGAGGAACAACAACAACAAAATAAAGAAAAAAAGTATATGAAGAAAAGGTTAGATGAAAGGCACCCAGTCATTGCACCTTCTGTATGTGACCACATATGTTCTCAATCCAGGCTAAATGATGAACATTCTGGAAATTCAGATAGTTCTATTTTCACATAATCGAGGACATTGATTGATTCTCTTTTCATTGAAAACATGGGTGAGGGTCTAATACTTCACATCCCTGCAGCTGTATATTTAATTAGAACCACTTTTATCTTAGGAACAGTTTGCCGGGATAAATTTTAAATTCAGTTGGCTTGTATTTTTTTCAGGACTCTGGCCTGACATTGTATGGCCAGGTGTGCCCAGACTCCTGCGAGTGCTGCAACAGGGAGCTCAACATCCAGGATATGTTCAAGAGGGAGCCAGTGTGCCTTCGCACCAACTGCACTTACGCATCCCTTCAGGCTGCCCTCGCCTGAGCCTTGAGATAAAATACATCCCTTCCTCTTCTTTTCCCTTCAGTCTTATTATATTTACAATATTTACCCCAAAATTAGAATGTTAGTAAACTATAATCCAAAGTGGCTATACTTATCTTTTGTGTAGCTGAATCTGTGTTTATTTCTTTAGTTCTGTTTTGTTGTTGTTGAATTACTCAGTTATTAAACAGTTTACATTTAACTGGTAATGTTTTTTGGGCTTTAAATTTTATTAGCGGTCTGCATTTGTGGGGTTTATCTTGTGGCATGTTGTGATTTTCTTTAATTGATAATAAGTAAAGCTGAAACAGTAGATGCCTCACACGTGACTTTCATAAATACATACAGGGGTACATCACTTGTTGATTCAGTGCAGACCAGGTGATGAAATTCTTATATTTTTAGGAATTAGTTTTGCGAAACTGTCTCAACATATCATTAAAAAAAAAAGTGTTTCCTAAATTTTTAGCAGGTAATTTAAGAATAGTGTGATTTATTTTCTGGAAAGATCCAGTGTTTTAAATGTTAAAAGAATTATATTTTAAACTGCAATAGGAAGAAATAATGCTTAACGAAATTTACAAAATAAAGGAAAAGTTTGCTATTTGTGAAGAGTTCTGATACATCCTACCTCCCAGTTGTTAGTTTATTGTTCAAATTTAGAAAGTGTGTTGTTTAATTTGTTAAGCATACTCAAACTGGGATGGGTTTCTCTATATATAAATGTATAATTTTTTTTAAAGGTTATGTATTCTTGATTCTTTTTTTTTAGCCTGTCATTTTAAAAATGAAGGTAAGATAAATGAATTATCTGTGGTGATTAACAGTAATAACAAGTATATCAGAGGTACAGTGCGCAATGACAACTACATAATGAGATATAAAATGTTAAAGCAATTTGAAAATACATTTTTTTTTTAAATCTCAAAGAGATGTGACTTTAAAGAAAATGTTACGACTAAAGAATTTGTCTAACTCACTTCAGTTATTAATTAAAAAGGGTATGATGTTATGATACGTGAAAGTCATATTTGATTTAATTTATCTAAAAATATGCGAAGCAGCTGTGAGCAAATATTATATGAATAGATTTTACTTTAAAATTAAATTAAAACAGTGTTCAAAAATATTAATTTTTTCTCTCCATTTGTAATCAGAAATGTAGTTTTCTTGGTTTTTGTTTCTTTTTCTTCCTTTTTTGTTATTTAAAGGTGAAAGTTGTACCATAGCAGATACTGCATTTGGGTAGTGAAGGGTTAGGCCTTCACATTTTCTAGGCCACAATACATGAGTTATGGTGGTCAGTTCCCTTCCTTGCCACCATTTTCCCCAGATAATTCTGAATATTATTTGGTATAACCGGAAGACCCGAGTTCCAACACTAGGTATGGTGATAGAGGTTTCTTTTGATCGGAGACAACCCAAAAAATAATAATTATTTTTACCTGCACAGTTCATGGTGACTGCACTAGCTATGTGACCCTTGATCCTCAGTCTCACGACACCCCCACCCCACCTCCCATTTTTCCCCCCATATGGTAAATGCACAGCAACATTTTTTTTAGAACATGTTTATGAGGTCTGATTAGCTCGGAGCCAAGCTGGCTGGAAAAAAGTCCCTCCTCTGATAGAGACTCAACCTAAACATCTACCTTTTCTGGCAAGCTCACTAACCACTACACCAGAGCTATCCAGAGAATGTTGAAAATGGGAACTAAGCCCCAACATACAATTGACTGATTTTTGCTTGACCTCTGTGGGTCAGATTTAAGCCTTGGGCCACCAGTTAAATAGCTTTGCACTACACCATTGCTGAGAATAGCCCATAATTACCCCATGGGGTTGGGGGGGGGGGGGGATCTGTCTCAACGGCAAAGTGGTCAATATATTTGTCTTGCACTCTGAAGGTCATTGGTTCGTTTCACAGATGCAGCAATAGTTTACAAGTGAGTTTATTTTTACGGTAAGCTGTGGGGATAATTGCTGGAGCTGTGGTCTTGCTTTGTGTCATCTCTCAGCAGGTGGCCATCCCTTCACAGGTAGAGACCAAGTCATATGATATAACCCAGGGCAATGAAGTCGATCACCTCGACTTCACCTTAAATTTGATCATAAGTAGGGTGAATAATATCATTATGCTTGAACTGCAAGACAGCAAGGAATGGTGCAAATCATCTGAATTCAAAAACCTACAATCTAGCAAATAAAGTGACCAGTGCTTCGACACGCCATTAGGAGCAGCTCTCCCCTGCTTGCGGTTGAAAGTGGTCATTGTCATCTTTAAACTGAACTGACACCCCGTGTAGCAGTAGCCAGCCTAATGATTACCATAGCCGATACACACATTCAGATACACAGGTGCACCACTATGTCATAAAGCAGGTATGCTTGAATTGATAGCAGGGAATGGAATAGATCACCTCACTTCAGAAACCTACACTCTGGTATATAAAGTAACCTGTTCTTTGACACCCCATGTAGCAGTAGCCAACCGAGGGATACCATTGACAAAACATTTACACCTGTACAAGTGTGTGCTTGTGCACAAACATACTCGCACACGTAAAGTTACCACTGCATTACTAATCTTTATGCATAGTTATGCTTAAATTGATAGAGTGCAGGAAATCAGTCACCTCACTCAAAAAACCCTTCAGTCCGGGGACCAGTGACTTGAAACCCAGTTTAGCTGTAGCTAGCTGGGGATTACAATAACCTATACACTTATATGTTTGCAGACAGACACACACACACTCATGTGTGTACACACATCCATATATATAAACACACACACATACACACACACACACACACAGAGGAAAATTTAACCTGGGCTAATTAAAGCAATCTATTTCTTTGGGTTGGTTTTCTTTTTGTTTTGTGGTTATCTTTCAAAGTAGTTTGTAGAGCTGCATAAAAAAATTATTTTTTATTGGTCATTGTGTTTTCTGACGGAGATAAATGTTACAATTTGTGTTACATTCAGTCAGGTGCACATTTCCTCTAATGAAATAGCCGTTGAATCTTGTTGAAGTTTATAACTTGCAATCTTTTTTTTTTAAAGGCTACATCCCTTGTGTTGTAGATATTCAGTGTATGAGTGTAAGATACAATCAACCTGTATGCAAGGCCAATCCCGAAAGAACATACTTAGAAAATGATACAAGCTTTTAAAACACAAAGTTTTTTAGTAGTTAGATGTGCAACTTACTTGTAAGAGTTCATTTGTATGTGTTGTATATTTAGTTATGTAATGTTAGATCTGGCCTTATGCAGCCCATTGTGTTAGTTCTCTAAATGTTCTTTATGTTCTTTCCTCTACCTCCTACTCCATTATACATATACCAAAAGCCAGTAGCTTATCGTTGACAGGGTTACTTTTATGATACGTTGCCCCTCTAAATCTTCCTAAATATTCCCTACCATTAGAGGAAGGGATAATCACTGATTTAAAAAAATGACTTATCTCAAGGTTCTGGCAGCAAGGACTGTAAGAAGAAGGCAGTTGCGCTTCCTGTGACCGTCAGCACGAGACAGACCCCATTGGTGACACCATACTTCAAACATTATCATAATTGAATAAGAAATTATCAAAATTTATATTTGTAATGATTTTTTTATTTAAATTGTCTCCTTTTGTTTAATAAATGTAGACATAGGTAAATATGTATAAATTTTAAAATTTCAAAGTATATTGAAGGTTAATGAATAATTCATGAACATTCTTTTTAGTGGAGCTGTGAGAGTGAAGTGGCTAGTACATTTGCCTGTGGGACAAGTGGTCATTTATTCAAATCCACTATGAGATGGGGACCTGTAAAGTTAATTGACTTAAACTGAGAAAATTTGATGTCAAAAAATGTTTGGGGAAGTAAAGACAGCTCTGGTTTCAGCATAAGAAGATGGTGCTATATTGAGCACATCCTGCAAAAAAGTGAGCAGAGAATTAACAAACATACACTGAGATGGGAAACAGATGGACTGAGGAAACAAGAATGTTCTAGAGAAATCCTAAACAAACTTTTATGTGAGAGGCCAAAGGTGCTGGACGGGGTTCTGTCCTCTCCATTTGGCCTTTAGGGCCCCATTTTGGAAAACAAAGAGTAGGCCCACTTCCCCACCTAACAAGCGTGTCAGAGGAGTCAGCTAATTAGGTTTCCTTAAAAGTCAAGAGTGCATCTGCCTGAGAGGTAAGAAAGCAACAGCCTGCATATGAATAAGCCAGATCTGTGAAATGTATGTGCACACACAATTCAAGTAATGCATGAAGGCCAAAGTCCAGAAGTGGATGAGCAACCAGACCTTTCTGCTGGAGTTTACACACAGGGAACAGCTAAGAAGAAGGATTGAATCCTTGATATTGAAAGAACTGCAGGGGACAGAAGGTTAAAGTGGAGTAGACTGTGAGTCTTGTCTGACATAAAATAGCAGTGAGGTGATGATGATGATGAAAGACAGCTGGCATGTTACTGATGACATCACCCCTATTGTGGGGTTCCCTATAAAACTGGACTACCATCATGTACCCAGCATGCTTCCTACAGGTCATTTACTTAGCTTCTTCTGTAATTGCAAAAAATATGTGATGCATTTGTTTTAAATTAGTAATGCCCATTTTAATATCAGATGTGATAGTCTGATGGCATTTGTCATAATCATTGAAATAATAGTTGTTCAAACTATATTGTGCATTGTGATATTCTGATGTTTCCAGTCAGTAATGGATGTTTGAAATATAGCAGACTTAAACCTTATTTGTGATATTATGTTTCAATTATATTGAACACAGAACACTTTATATAGATAAAAAAGCGTAAAGAAGATGTCTTGAAAGAATATAATTCATAAAGATAACTGATTACTCATCAGAATGAGACATTCTGCCTTCTTTGATCAGTTTTTTTTTCTGAAAAAAAACACACTCTGAAATGTGTCATGAAAGTAGAAAGAGAGGCCAAGAGAAAATATTGGACAGTTTGGCATCATGGCTTGAAGAACAT